CAGGATATCTGTTGTGCACATTGACTGTGCCTCAGCTCAGTGATGGTACTTATTTGCATTCAGGTATGAAGTAGTGCCTCACTAAAAAAATAAAGCTAACCTCTAGTTTCTTTCAAATCGACTAAGCAACTAACAAAATGTTGCTAACTCAAAAAAAAAAAATCTATCTATCAAACAAGCAAAGACTGGGAGAGGAACAAATGCTAGTCCTTGGCAGCGATGTATGTGCTAACCTGTTGTGTCATAATCTATGTCACTAAAATTATGAAGCAAGTCCATCTGTGTTCATAATGAACAATCCATTCGTCCAGCTGCCCTGCAAATAATAGTGTAGTTCATAATGTCATCCATTTCAAATTCCAGTCCTTGTAAAGATGGCCAGTCTGTGGCAGTTACACAATATTTCTAATAAAAATATCTGAACACCCATTTGCCATCATGGAACTTCATGAATGCCTCTCCAGCAGGGATTTTAGAGCTTGAAAACCCTCAGCACAACTTGGCCTCCAGAAGTGCCTTGAGGATGGATCCAAACACATGTAGTCAGGACTTTCCTGACCACCTTTGCCTTTAAAACCAGGGAAGCAGCTCTCCACAATACTCAACAGCTGCTTTAGACTGACCTAGATGGTTACTTGCAGGCCATACTTATGGCTCTTGCCCTACTCTGGCACATTTTTCTGCCTCTGTGAGAAGAAACAGGTGTTCCATTCTTACTTAACCACAGCTACATCCATGATGAGTTGGCATCTCCCTTTGATATCTGTATCATCTATATCTATACATATATATACATTATATCTATATATCTATACCTATAATCTATATCTATCTATATCTGTATCATCTACCTATATCTCACATGAGCTTTAATGAGCGCTGCAGTATTTCACTGTGGGCCAAGATTTCAATTCCCTAAGACCTTATGCAATGATGAGATCAGCCATTGACTGTGATTTGTCTGCTTTCCACAGGCTACTGGTCAAAGCTCCTATGTTTTCACAAGTCCTATAAAAATAAAATTAGTAAATTCATTTTTCACTTATGGCTGTAAAAAGAAATAAACAAAATAAAGTTTACTGCTGTCTTTTCTTTCTCCTTTCCCTCCCCTCCCTTCCAGCTAGTACAGATAAGTACAAACAGCTTGGATCTCAGAAGTGATATCAGGCTACTCAATCTATAATATGGTTGAGTTTCTTTCCTAACTTTTTTGGGCCATGTGGTAATAGCTACTTTTTGTATGTTTTTCTAATTAAAGAAAAGCACATTAAGAGAGTGCAGTGTCACAGAATATTAGCCCAGCTTCTGCTAATGCTAGCATGAATAATTTCAGTGTGTATCAAGAAAAGACTCTGTCTCCACAAATTTACATTGCCATTATTATAATTGGAGAACAAGTTTTATGAGGAATAGCTGAGGGAACTGGAGTTGTTTAGTCTGGAGGAGAAGAGGCTCAGGGGGGGCCTTATCACTCTCTACAACTACCTGAAAGGAGGTTGTAGTGAGGTGGGGATCAGTCTCTTTTCCCAAGTAACAAGTGATAGAACAAGAGGTAACAGCCTCAAGTTGCACCAGGGGAGGTTTAGATTAGATATTAGGAAAAATTTCTTCACTGAGAGGGTGAACAGGCATTGGAACAGGCTGTCCAGAAAAGTGGTGGAATCACCATCCCTGAAAATGTTAAAAAAAAAAGTGTAAATTTCACAGTTTGGTGGTTGACTTGGCAATCCTGGGGTACAGGTTGGACTTGATCTTAAAGGTCTTTTCCAACCTAGTTGATTCTATGATTCTATATGAAGCTAAAACAAAAGTGTATTCCTCAGAGTTCCTAGTGGGAGACCAAGTGGCAGTTTTTCACCCATGTGTCTGAGGCCAGATTTGGACACCACCTGTGACGTGTTTAAAAAATGTGAACAGTGTGTATAGCAGACACTTCTTTAATGAATGCATGTTTGAATAATAGGTTATTAGTAATTACTTATAAGTCAAAATGTGACACTAACTCACCCTACACCAAAGCAATATCTATGCTATAGATACATGGGCTGCCTGCAATTTACAGATCTGCTAAAACAATAAATCTGAGCAACATTTTTTTTTGATTCAGCAAAGTTACTGTTAAAGAGTGTCTTAACATGTAAGTAGGAAAATCTGCCCGTTATTCAGTGAGAAACACTTAATTAGGGTGTTTTCTCATTAGGGTGTTTTCTCATTCAGGTTTGGGTAATCTGAGCACCATTAACACGTCTTTCTCATTCAGAACATTCATTTTGGGGAACACTTTTTTTCTGTTGCAGGAGATAATGATGATCCTAACACCACCGTTTAAAGACCAAGGGTTTAAGGAATTGCTGTGCAGACCTTTAGGTAAGTTGTACAGGAAAAGACACTCCCGGGATCCAACCAGGAGAGCTGCAAAAAGCTTTTCAATTCGATTTAGCGAATGACACTCATCAAAGCATCAATGCATAAATGCACCTGGGTTGTTTTATTCTTAATTTTGAATGAAGACTTTTCTACATTTCTGAGAAGGGTGCTTCATACATTTGAGAAGTATTTTTTTAAAGAGCTTATTCCCATGAAGTCCCTCCTGGTTCATGTTAAAGGATCTACAGGGAACAGAAAAAAAATACTGAAATGACGCTAGTGAGAGCTCTGGAGCACCACAAAGGCAGTAGCACATCTAGAAACATGTAGTTTAGGGGCTTTGTGGTGCAGGTTTTGATGGGCTGTCACTGTTACTCACAGCCACTCCACCATCAGAACAGATTGCCAGAGAAATATAATTTTAAGAATATGTCCTAAATGGAATTGCTCTGTTGGGTGGTATTGATGGGGGGGATAAAGAAAAGAAGGGAAAAGAAAAAGAGAAAAAGAAAATTAAGAAGAAAAAAGAGAGAATGAAAAGAAAACCCAAGAAAAACAAAGAAACCATGAAACACCTTTCTGCTTTGCAGAACAGGGCTTGAAAAATTCATGTCATAAATACATCACCCTGTGCAACATTCGCATTACCTCTGACATTACATACTATAAGATGTGACTATGAACAGCAGACATTTGCCCAGATTTACGGTTGCTTCATCTTGTTCCTCAAAGCAATAAGGTCTATCTGTCTGCTACCTTGAACAGAAGTTGCACCTTGCACATTTACCCATATTTGACTAGACACACTCTACTTTCAACACTGCAATTCTTAAAAAAATGAGTTGGATACAATAAGACATCAACCTTCTACACATCTCAATATCACGTAATGAAAACAGCAATATGTTTTGGCATGCTTTATAACTTAATTTCTGTTGGGTATGGTAGTTAATCTATGCATAACAATATCAATTTATGGAACAGCAGACTAGTATACTAATGAACCTGAAAGAGCATGTTAGTGAATATAGTTAGTTTCTTAAATTGTACATTAAAAAGCTACTATTTTGTCTTTTCAAAATGAAATGTTTTTTAAAATTTTGCCAAAACATTTTATTTAGACTTGGAGGTATTTCTCATTTAGAAACACCTGGAAAGCAAAAGAGATCAGGTATGAAGACTTTTACGTAGTTGATCTTTTTGTAGATATAAAGGTAGATATAGATGATAGAGATGCAGACAGATTTATAAAATATGAAATATAATTCTCTTATTTACAGTTGTGATGATGTGCAGTATGTTATGGACACTCTAGGCAAACAGAATAATCTGCAAGAAGTTCTAAACTGTGAACTGCTTGATTTTGCATTTTGATCTCCAATTAACACCTGTAATGGTGGAGAATGTATTTACTGACTGCACTGCCACATATAGTGGCAGGAATTTTGAACTAACAAAGTTTTCCCTACAAAACTTATATCCTTGATAATACAATTGAAATTATAAAGTAAAAGGTCCAGTCTTCGGTGGTGACATTTAAAAGTCATTATACAGCAGATCTGGAAATCAATGTTAACGCTTGCAACATACATTGGGAAACTAACTAGATAACACAAGCACCTACTGATATTTTATACCCTGCTGACAACCACAGCATTTCTATAGCCAGGCTGAGCAGTCTTCTGTGACCATCCTTCTTCAGAAACGTAGAGAAATCTTTTCTGAAGTAGGCTGCACTGACTTTTCAAAAGTAAAATGTTAAACATGTAAAAAAAAGTAAAATGTTCAAAACCCCTAAACTCAGCACAATGATTCAAATGAGGTTTTCCATGAGGTCAACCATCTTTTTATATGAACGTAAATGCGAGTATTCACAAAAATGAGATAACTGTTTCAATCCATAGTCATATGTATGCTAGCATAAAAAGCACCTCACAAATAATGTCATATTTAAGTACATATTTAAAAAAGCCACAGCATTAGAATTTATATTTTTCTCTGACCAAAGTTTCAGGCTCCATTAACCTCCCCACTTCTCTCAATCTGTTGCAGGTTGAGGCTTCACAATTTTACAGAAGATAGAGGAGATACCAAAGACAGACTTCTCTCGATCCAATTAGCAACTTCTACCCTCAAAGTAGAAAACATTAAAATAATGTTAGGCTTTGAAATCAAAGAGCATTTTCTGTCCTGTATGTTGATGGACAAAGCATTCAGTAGAAGTAATGAGTCAGATACCCATACACAGTTGATACAGCATTTCTTTTCTTTCTCTACATCTTGTTGTACCACAAAACTTTCACACAGATCTGAAGGCGTCTGGCTACATGAACAAAGAAAGTTGGGTTAACAGCGTCATGTAGGTGTAATGTTCTATTACCCCAGAACAAAATGAGAACTTACTTAGTAAATTTATTTTTTTCTTTAAGCCGCTATGAAAATGTTAGAAGTCTTTGAAAGCATAAGACTATAAAGAGGTTGCTTTAGCATATTATGACCATAATTTAGCTCTAGAGCCTTATCATATTACTAAAATAAAAAGATGAGCTTATCTCTACCATTTGTAGATAGCTGTGAATTTTTGCCACTTCAGAGAAATATTCTAAACAGGCTTTTCTAAGAATGGCATTGCTCACAACAGTTTGCAAACACGTATTTTATTTGTGAGAAAATGAGAATTCACTGTTTTGATATGTGACGTATATCACATGAGCATGAATCATTATTAAATTTGCACATCTCAACCAGTTGTTATAAGCAAGCCTAAACTTATTCACTGTACAACAGTAGGGTTAATCAGCTCTGCATTCTACACAACATGAACATACAAGTAATTGAAAACACAAACTATGATAACTTACTGACAGGTATAAAATACTTTGACCAAAACAAAACCAACCCAAACCACTGAAACCATGTATAACAAAAAAAGTCAAACGTAGTTAATTGAAACTCTTTATATTGGTACTAAATGAGAATCCAAAAATTAATATTCATAGGCTTAAAGAGAAACATCTCTCCATATGCCCTCCATGTTGGATTAAATCAACTAGTTAAATTATCTCCAATATTTTTAAGCTTCGTCCTTTTTTTGCCTGCTCCCCATCCTCCGCTGAACTGCACTGGATGGTCTCGAAATGATATCCGCTGTTTATAAGATGGACCCAAACATGATTTTTCTGGAGTAGGTATATTCTTTTCTAGGCAATAAATAGACACATGAAATTAAAAACCAAACAAAACTCCCTAAATTTCACTGCATCGTAATCTTTTTAAGATAATAATACACATTAATATGTCTAATTTGATAGAACATTATTGCTCACTGTTTTAAAAGTAATACAAGTATTTTCACAAGATAGTACTTTTTTAAGAACAATCTCCTTGTCAAAATAGGCAGTAAAATTACTACACAAAATGATATAAAAGTGCCACTGTCCATTTTAAGCATATTTTAAACACATACACAGATACTCAGTGCCTTTGACATAGAAACTAGTAATGTCATCCATCCTTCAAGTGAATGGAGAATCAGTTCATAACATGCATCTAATTAACAAGTTCTTCTTTAACTATATTAGAGCAAATATAAGAGGATTTTTTCTTTTTCAAACCCAGGAATACTTAAATTTGATGCTGAATGGTGCCACAGCAAATATAAACACACATCAAATTAAGTGAAATAATCACTTTCATAGTCATGCATACAGATGCTTGAGTAATTTAGTTTCTACAAAATACTTAATTATTTAAATAAAATAACCAGTATACCTAAGAAAAAGTCATGATTCTTATTTTATAAAAAACATTGCTTTACAGATGGAAATACCTTTCTAAGACATCTGTAAGAAAGATAGTATCTGTGGAAGACAAACTGTGAAAGCGAATGATACGATATTCACAGTAGAACAGGGTTTTTTACATATCTATATATATCCAAAATGAGCACGCTTAGCTTATCAAATAAAAATTTTACAACCATATTTTTGCCACCTATTGAAGCAAAAGCTTACTAATTGCATATTTTTAGCATTTTTGATATTTCAAATTTTTAGTACTGTTCAATAGCAAAAATATTTTTTCACAATAAATAGTCCCCAAAATTAAAAGCTTAAATCATATGGCTGTATATAATTCTATTTATTAATAGAAAAAATATAGTTATACATTTCAAACAGGAAGAACACCTTTGTTTTCTCATGGATGCTTTTCCGTAGTCTTCTAGATCTAAATGTCAGGAGCTTTTCCCAGCCTACACTTCCCTTTTCCATGTACCCCCTTTAATTTAAAAGCTGCTTTATGAGGTTGAAAACATTGTTAAACAACAAAAACGATAAAAAATAAATAAAAGGGAAATAGGTATTGCATGTTCAGACTGGAAACAAAGTTTGGGGCTAATTTATGCTTGAGACTGACTTTCTCATGTACTCATCTTCAAGATTGTATCAATGATAAAGACAACATAACATTTATTTCTATATTTCAACAAAACAAATATTTGTTATTATATTCTTTTAAAACCAGAATAAATACAAACGACAGAACAAAAACCATCAGTAACAATAAATTTGAAAATCAGTTTAGAAGTGATAGCATTAATGTAGCAAAACAGGAAGTGAATCTCATCCTAACTGCCTAATCTGGATTATTTCTGGACTAATAACCTCACATGTTTATAAATTTCTCTGTACTGATAGATATCATTTTCACAATGGATTTTAGAAATTTGCAGGTTTTCTGACTTTCCACTTATAACTATACAGAATCCATTGTAAGGGATATTTTGTCTTCGCATTACTATGAAACGCATATTATTATTACAGAAAAACAAAATCCCCAAAGACTTGCCATATTTTTTTGCAAGAAACTTGTGAAAAGTCTTCATAAATTACTCATATAACCTTTTATTTTGGCAGAATAACAGCCACATCTGTCATAGCACGAATTCTTCTTGTCTAAACTTCAGACTCAATTGCAACTCATTTTTGCATTCTTTAGATGGCAACACAGTCAAATCTCTTGTGAGCAAAATGTAATAACTTACTAACTTTGAGTGAATATAAACTGCCCGAACAAAACAAGGTTTTAGATGTCTGTGATGTCTGGGCCTCAGTAAGAGAGCAGGACACCTTCCTCAGCCTGAAGGTATTTTTGCAAAATGTCAGGTACTCTAAAGGTGTAGACTCTGCTCCCTTGAATGCAGGTTAATAAATCAGAAGCTATCCCAGATTATGAAAGGCACAGGTCCCTTTTTCTTTATCTATCCTGAAGTGTTGATTATATTTCCTAGGGTCTACTTTAAAATTTGCTAAACACTAGTGACCTAGAAAGATAGGATTAAAGCATAGACTACTCTGTATTCTTTCTTTCCGTTCTTCATAAAGTTCTCGGCACTGTCAGCCAAATAAAATAAAACCACTATAGGGAATGACCAACTATATCTACAAGACAAGTTTGTTGTAAAGCACTTCCCTTTTATGTCCCATCTTCCCATCTTTGAAATGAGCATAATTATGCTTGCATATCTGATATAGCACCTTTTATATCTAGTATATAGTACTAAGAGGTGGGTATTATTATCAATGTTGCTGTTCTGGTGACCAGTCTAACTGTAGTGAAGAAAACCAGAACTGGCATAGAGATCCAACTGCCTATTCCCTGAAGAAGAATTCTCAAAGATATGAGTTAGACTTGCATATAAGCATAGTGAGGTTTGCTTACTCCTATTCATATTATACCTATAATTCTCAAATATTATACTTAAACTGCTAGTGGCTTAAATGGTAATTATGATTGAAAACAGAACAAAAAAAAAAAAAGAAAATACAGGAATGGAATGCATTGCAAATTAGGACTTGCTTGATTTATCATACATGCCCACAATTACTATGCTTATTTTTAATTCATGTCTTTTGCAATTTCAGTGAAACTCTTGGTATGAACATTCTTGCAGTAAAGTAAGAACAGCTTTGAACTTAAGTGTAAATAAAATATCTAGGTAGGGTCTTGTAAGAAGTAAAGATACCATATACAAATTGAAACTAAAACACAGTTACTTGGTGTCAATACCTGTATTTACAATAGGCTTTCTGATTCTACATTATTATTCAAATGGGCAATTTTTTTTCCTTCAGAAATATTCAATAAAGACAGTTCCATTAGCAAATGATTAGAGTTTTCTCAAGATTAAGTAGATGACAGAAGACTAGAGACTCTGGTAAGGGATGACAATGCCATGCTGAATTAGTTCAAAGAAACTAGAACACTTAGAAATGTTCTTTTAAAATACAGTCTTATTTTTCTTAAGGAAAAAACCCAAAACAAAAACAAAAAACCCAACCGAAACCAACCAACCAACCAAAAAAACCCAACCAAAACCAAAAAACAAAAAACCCCAAACCAAACCAAACCAAAAATGCTCATTATATTTGTTTCATTTATATTTGTTACCTTTACTTATATTTATTATGCTTTACTTCTCCTTGGACCTAAGTATGTTTATGCCTGCTCAGGGGAAGTTATGCAATTTTATTGCTTTATGGGACCTTTTTTATTTTAAGAACAAGGGAGAAAGTAATAAAAAGTGGATATTTAGTTCAATGTACAGAAATAAATAAAGCAAAGATTCACCAGAAAACAATAACTGCATTTTGCATTTTTTCTTAAATGTTCTACTGATCATGTACTTGAAGTGCTTCAAGATCAATATTGAGGTATTATTAAAATGTAAAATATCTGCATCTGTTCTTTTAACTGTTCTTTGGGGCGCACTTTATTTTAAAGTCTTACTTTGCACCTCTATATTTTTTTAAAGGGAGATCTTATATTTTTCTCTCACTGCATTACTAATAATGTAAACAGTTTTTCCAGCAAGCTTGGATTTGCAATACCTTCATTTACCCCTAAACTGTAATGTGTCTTGCAAATGAACAGTTCATGTATTAGCATATAGGAGTGAATAAAAATAACTGCTATCAGAACTTTTTAACTGGAAAAATAAAAGGTGATATCTACAGTTATATTTTGCCATCAATGTAAAGATATTTGTAAGGTATATATGTCATTAATATGTGCACATACACACACAGATTGGCATGTGTTTATTTGTAATTTATGAGTAATTTTAAGCATGATCATGATATTTTCTTTTCATGTTATGTTCCATGAGTATATTTGAAGTGGGACTTACCCAAAGGCAACAACAGAAAGATTCACATTGTTTCAAGATATAAGTATCTTTACGAAGTATAAAGTAGACCTATTAAAACTACTGATTTTTTATTTTATAAAGTACTGATCTTTTTTATAACAATAATAGGAATAATAGCAATAATACTAACAGTAACAGTAGTAATGTTAATAAAGCAGGTCTCCCTGTCTGTGTCAGAGGGGTTGGAACTAGATGACCTTAAGGTCATTTCCAATCCTAAGTGTTCTATGATTCTATGGTTCTATGATTCTATAATAGCAATAACTTTTACCATTAGTGGTACTGGAATTAAATAGAACCTGGTGAGTGTATTAAGTACAATTTTACATGATATACAGTTATTCTAATACCCCCTCATATGGAAACAAAATCTTAGCCAAGAAAAGCAATTTAACTTCTCCTATCCCAAATCAGGCTTGGAAGACAGGCTGTAACAGTTATTTACTGTACTTTCATTTAATTGTAGCATTGCCTGTGTGAAGTTCCAGTATAGTTTGAGAGATTTTCAGGTGCCTGTATATATCAAATAACCATTTCTTTTGAGTATGTGTTGAAAGCTTGTCTTGGGTTAAGCTCACATGCTTCTATTTCCAAGCAGTCAGTTTTCTGTTGTTTAATCTGTTTTCTGCTATTGATTTGTTCTGGTCTTTTTTCGTTAAAGCCTGGGTCTTTTAACAAATGTCAAGGTTTACATATCCCCTGTTTTGATAAGTAATGCAATATGTAAAATGCTTTGAATGAAATTCTTGGTGTCCAAGAAGAAAAGCTTTGTTAAACAGGCTATGATGGACACTTTATGATGTATAGTAGACGTCATAGGGCATTTATCGATCCACCTAACATTGTGTGTCTGGAGATATAATTTATTTCAAAGTCCTTACCATATTGTATTACTTAAGTGCAAATACAGCATAAGAAGGCATGGAGAAAACACTTCAACATTTTAATGAAAGTGACCAGAACAAATCCATAGCAGCAAAGCGTTTACAA